CGCGGGTTGCCTTGCTGTTGTTCGGCTCGTTTACACCCCTAGGGGAAACACTATTTGATAGGAAACTAACTCCATGTATGAACATTTAGGTATATGACTAAATTGGAAAACACAATTCCTTTGTATTTACATAGATAACACCTAAAGTTATACTTATAACACTTTTGATGTCATAAGCCTTTGCATGAAAAGATATTCTTCTTTCTTAAAAAGTCAGGAATAGTTGTATTTTTTATGTAATATTGCAGATTAGAGTGTTATGTATAAAAATATAAAAGTTTTAAGTGTTAGATATGTATATATATACGAATTGTGTGGTATGTATGTAAATGCACCCCTTTTGTTCACAAAATTTCTCGACAACCCTTTCATCAAATCATATATGTTAGCCTTGGTTTTCACAGATCAAGTTTGTCGGTGAGTTTGTTGAGGGTATGAGGAGTGTTACATCTACAGTAGGTTGAAGCAGAAAAAAAAATTTTTTCTGACCTAGTGCCTTAATGCCCTATATGAAGTGCTGCTACGCCAAAATACAACACCTGATTGTTGAGACCAGTAGCGCCGCAAAACTCGTCCAGGTTCAAAAACCCGAGAGCACAACACTGATGCATAGAATTCAGCGCTTGTTGGAGCGCCGCAACACGATTAGCATGGCGCCCTGACGCCAGAAACAAAATTTTTTGTTTAAAGACTCAATTTTGCTAATTTAATTTTATCTTCATATTATGAATAATAGTGCAAAGTATTTATGATCACACCACCTCATGCTCTAAAATTCTAAATGCAATCCTTCTATTTTTGTAATATTACTTCAAAATTTTAAAATTAGATCAACGTGTTGCATGTTAATAAATTTCTCTAATTTGAAGTAATCATATGTATACACACATATAACTCCCTACCTTATAATAGGCTAGGTAAACATTTAATATTTAGTCAATAATACTCTGATTAGTAAATGATTAATTTATCATTACTCTATAAACTTGGATTTATTAGAATCTGAATCAAATTTATTAATGGCTATCAGTTCTTAACTGTAATAATATCACAATATTTTATTTTACCAAGAGGTTAAGAAATGATTAAGTGATAAGTTAGCGAATAGATTAAGGAGTCTATTTAGAATAAATATGAACTAATTAACATTTAATTAGTCTAAATTAGACCTATTCAATTTAAAATATTAAGAATAATAAACTCCTTTCGACATGAAATTTTCTCAAACTAAATTAAACTTTAAATAACAGAGCTGGAAATAAACAGTGTGTACGCCGAGTTATTTATGACATGATTTGATGTACAAACGGAGCAAATTTTAATTATTATTATTATTTTTAAATACTTGATTAATTGATGAATAAAAATTCTAAATTAAGTTCGTTAAGAAGCTGGATTAAAATTTAGGATCTGTGTGGGCAGCTTGTGTGTTTCAAGACAAACGGCTTATCTTAAAATGCGGTCCGCAGGTCTACCGCGGGGGTCAACCTGCAACCTGCATTTAGTCTAAAAAATTCAACGAGAAAAACAATATTTTTCAAAAAACACAAACCAAACGATTAGAAGATATTTTCAAAAACGCCGCCGCACTTATAAGCTGCACCAAACTATCCCATATTTTCACTTAAAACCTTATACTTTATGTTCAACAAAGTTGTATTGATAAGACTAATTTTTTTTTCAAACCAATTGTTTGTACAAAGCTCTAAAAACTCAACTCTATAGATGTTAACAAGCTCAAAAATTCCTATATAAATCAAATTCAATCAAGCTCAAATCATGGTAAAATATGAAGGGTTGTTTACATACATACCACCAAAAAATTTTCTATTTATAAATCTAGCACCCTCTTTCATCCATTTTTAAAATTCTCACTCAAATATCAAAATTCACAGTAAAACTCCAACCCAAAATTTTCACATTTATCAAATTTTCAAAGACGTAAATACATTGATTCGGTAATTCAAAAATATCACTAAATTTTATAAATAGCAAATTTAGCAGGTTACTAGCAAAACAAAATAACAAATTAACTATCTGCAAATCAACCACAAAATTTCCAGATAGATCAAAACTGAAGCATTCAGTTACAACAACAAAATTTAAATAATAAAAAAAAAAAACAGCCAATTATCAGTTCTACTCCCACCTTAAAAACCATCCTCTGCAGAACCAAAAGAAAACAAACTCCTCTAAGCAGTTCTTGCCGACCGTTAAACAAACTCCTCTCAGCCCTTTTAAAACCCCGCCTCACAACACGAATGCATGCCTTCATCCTCCTCACTTCCCAGATTCAATCATCCAACAAGTGAAGCCAAAAAAAAAAGAAAAAAACAAAATGGCAGACCTCGAAAATCACAGCGAGAATCAAAAGCAGCCTCTTCTAAACATAAACGCATTGGCACAAAACCAAAAGAACCAGGCACACAAAGCCATTAACCAAACCTTTCAAAGCACCGCGCATCTGGCCAACTTACTCCCCACAGGAACAGTGCTTGCCTTCCAGCTCCTCTCCCCCATCCTCGCCAACCAGGGCAAGTGCACTTCTGCTAACAGATTCATGACCGCATGCCTGCTCGTCATGTGCATTTTCTCATGTTTCATACTCAGCTTCAGCGACAGCTTCCGGGACTCCGCCGGCAACGTGCAGCACGGAATAGCCACCTTCACTGGTTTCTGGGTTGTAGATGGCCCTGACCCGCTTCCAGCGGAAACTGCGAGGAAATACAGGATAAGGTTCGTTGACTTTATCCACGCTTTGATGTCCGTAATGGTTTTCATTGCGGTCGTGCTGGTCGATCAGAATGTGGTGGTGTGCTTCTATCCGTCGCCTTCAGAAGATGTGAAGCAGATAGTCACGGCTCTACCAGTTGCAATTGGGGCAATTTGCAGTGTGATGTTTATTGCGTTTCCGACCACTCGCCATGGAATTGGTTTTCCTCTTTCAGCTCAGTGATGGCTATGAAAACCAGAAGGAAACTGTAGACATTTGAGGTTTAAGGAATTCTGAAGAAGGTTTTCGCATTATTTTGATAAAGCATCAGACAAATAGAAAGACAAAGATGGCTGAGAAAATTAGATTAGTGCTTGCAATAAATTATGATGTAACAATTAAGCTAGTGCTATGTGCTGAACTCTCATTTCTAATGCTGATAGGATAGCTCACTGTATTGGTAATGACATATAATTGAAGAAATTATTCCTTTGTTGCGAAGTAACACTTCCTTTTCGTATATCTTTACACAATTAGTTCATGACACAACAAATGCAGTTAATATAAAAAGGTCCTAGGAAGGGAATGGAGAAAATAAACAGAAGACTAATTAGTACCACCTTCTTCTAATTGTGGAAGTACCATTTCTTCTCTTGAATTTGTCCCATGTGCAATTTTTTACCCAGGTATGAATTCAAAATACCTACCACCAAATCAGAAAATTTTCAGTTTTGATGCACAAATAAAGATAAACAAACTAGCATGTTAGACACAAATATTCGATCACAAAAATTCATTGAAGAAACTATAAACAAAGCAAAAGCAAAAACAAAAACAATCGAGGGAGAATGTAAATGCTCTACACTATAGATAAAATTATTGTTCTCAACGTGTTTAGTGAAGGAAGAATCATTATAAAAATTTTGTCAGATGCATATTATCAAATTGAGATTAAAGACAGTTGGCACATAAATGCATCCTGGCTGCATTTTACCTGTTAAGAAAAAAAAAAGCTTTTCTTTTTCTTGTACGTCGTATTGACAAATATAGGAGAAAGCCACATTTAGTAGGCATTTATTTTTGTTCTAATTATGCTCTTCGAGTTCTTATTGTTTTGAGCTTATCAATTTAGGTTTATTTATAAAATTGTAGCCAAAGTTTTTCTATAATAAAGACCATTGGTCTTATCATTAGATACTGAATGAAGTAGTATTGGGCTTTCTCTTCATACAATCCTTAGAAATCCAACCCCCTCTCATCTCAATTCCCTCCATCTCCCCTTCTTGAAAATCCCTCACAGCAAGTCCCTCTTTCGCAATCTCTCTAACCATAACCTGCTCCATTGTTACCAACTCTCTCTCCAAGCTTCCTTCCCTCTCGTCTATGCCATTTTCCGATCTTAACTTTCTTGCTCCCATCTTTTCTATTCTCTCTCACTCATATATGAATTTCACAGAAAATCTGAATTCAAACAAACAAATTTTAGTTTAGATTCAACTATGTCATTTGGACCTCTGCCTTCAATACTGAAGCAAACAACCATAGATACCTCTTAAAATCCTTGATGTAAAAAAGAAAAATACAGCTTGAACAACAACTATTTGCAGCCTTCCAACATGATTCACTGCGTCTAAGTGTATAAGCTAATCACAGCTCACCAGCTACATTTGCTTAACTAAACTCAATGCACATTTTTTTCACACAATGAAACTAATTCAATATCAAGAAAGAAAGCATAAAGAAAGCATATTTGACTAGGACTAGATTTTTGTGGCATCAAAAGAAAGGTAAATAAAAATAAAATAAAAAACTGTCTGTATGCATGTCTTCCCAAACTTCATATTAGAGACCTTAATTCAAACTTCTAATGAAGTCTAAGGTTTCTTTTTCAATGAGACTTGTAAGAACAACAAAGCATGAACTCGGTTGAAGTTCATCCATTTTTAAGCGTTGTTTACTCATCTACCTTCAGAAATTATGTTTTCCTAAAAGAAGTTTGAGGAAAATTTTTAAACTCAAAAGCTCAGACTCCTTCAAAACTTAGAATGGCAAAACATGGTGGAGTTAAATTTGCTAACTAAATGCCTTCAAGCTTTACATTCAGTAATAACAATTGTCTTTATAAGTAAAGATCAATTATATCAAAAGGGATAGAAATGTACAAATTTACAGAAAGAGGTTTTTATAAATAAATAAAAAACAAGAAGTAAATTAATAAGTACAAAAATAGGAAAATGTACAAGGCACCAATTGCTCAGAAAATCATGAACTCTATATATATATTAGAATATTAAAGTCTTCTATAACTAAGTAAAACTTAATAAAAACTGGAGAGCATATCATCTATTATTAGAGCATCAATAAAACAGGAGATAGCCGCATGATGCTTAATAAAAGTATTTATCACTCACTAAATTTAAACCCAACCAGGATTTTATCCTCAAGTTATCGTAAGTGCAAAACTGCGCAATAAGTTAAAGATTGACATCATCCCTCACACCTACAAATGAAGTAAATAGAAAAGTATCCTTAATCAAGCATCATGGACCTCAGGACATTCATTGTAAATGGCTTAAAAGGAAGAAAAAAAAACTCACATTTCAAGTAAAGTACCTCAAGACTTCAGCAGCAAGTCCAAAGCCACTTTACTCATGTAAAGTGGAAGCTTCTTCTTGCAGTGAGAACACAAAGTATTGAAAGCCCGGTACTTCAAGATTATAATAAAATTTAATGTTCTCCAAAGTGATAATACAATTATCGCCCAGTACTTCAAGATTATACTAAAACCTAATGTTCTCCAAAGTGATAATGCAATTATCCTTATGTCAAAAAAAAAATTATAGAACCAACCTAGCTTCCAGATGAAACAAGAAGCTCTTGAGGTGAATGAGAATCACAATGCCCGTTCTCAACAAAACAAGAATTTCCAAAGTACACCAGCCTTGAATTAAAAGCATATAAATCATCAATGCGGACATGATCAGAGCCACTGAAAAGCAGAGAATATGTAGCTTTCAAAGAGCTCATTCCATGAAAATGTAAATTCTTCAACATAAAAAGGGCAGAATCAATACGACCAAATTTAATTAACAGATGAGCAATAGCATTCACTGAAATGCAATCCATCTCAATCCCTGCGATCATCATGTCCTTCACTAGCTCCTGTGTTCCAACCCAATCTCGGCCCTTACAGAAGCCACAAAGCATCACATTGTATGAATAAATATTAGGGTTTGGACCAAAATGCTTCATTTGTTCAAACAAAAATTTAGCTTCTTCAAACCTATCGCACTTAAAAAGTGCATAAATTGTAATGGTATAAGAAACAACATCAATGCAATAATTCTGAGAAACAGATTTACGGAAAAGCCTAATAGCTTTGTGATATTTTCGTTTCTTAACAAGTCCATCTAAGATTGATGAGTGGACATATGCATCAACATTAGGATTACTCATGAGAATTTCATTATAGACAGAAACAGCAAGTTCAGTTCTTCCTAACTTGCACAGACTGCTCAGCAATCCAACATAACTATAATTGTCTGGGATGAACTCTCTATCAATCATTATATTGTATAGCTTCAAGGCTTCAGAGGGAAGACCAGCCTTGCAATAACCAGTAATTAGGGAATTATAATACACAATATCTTCTTTGAATTTAAATCCAGCAGTTAAATCAGGGAGCAAGCTTTCTCTCCATGATAAACAAAACATGAAAGCCAAAGAAGATAGAGTGTACGAATCTGGCTCCATTTTCGTCTTTCGAAGGCAAAGAAAAATATCAATGGCGACATCAAATCTTCCAATCTTTAATAGATAAGAAATAAGGAAGTTGTATAAAACTAGATCAGGTTGGCAGTCAGTAGAATGCATAACGTTTAGGATACCTGGAACCTCACCAAGCATTTGAGCTTCACAAAGCCCTTTGATAAAAGAGGTATAAGTGAAAACAGTAGGTGAGCAACCAGCTTCTACCATCTTTGTCAAATGCTCACAAGCCATCTCAATTCTTCCAGCCCGGCAGAAAGAATCGATTAAAACTGTCCGCATGGCCACCGAAAGATGCCTCCCTAAAACTACCAGAAAACCTAACAACTGCAACAGCTCTACATCTCTTCCGGCCTTGCAGAAACAATCCAAGGCCATTAAAAAGGTCCCCTCGTTGAGGGAGAACTCTCTCCTCACCATTTCTCTCAACAAACTCCTCACACTGATCCAATCACCCGACTCACAAAGATTGCGAAGCACTATATTGAAAGTGAGAAAATTTGGGAAGTTGGTTTCTCTATAAATCCGCATTGCCTCATCGAAATTCCCACTCTTGAACTGTATGTCGAGAACTATGTTCCTAATATAGGTGTTGGGCTCGTAGTTTCGTCTGCATATCTCCTCAAAAACTTCTAGCGCAAACCTAAACTTTTTAGCTCGCCAGTAAATCCTAAGCAATATCAAGAAAGTTTGAGCCTTTACGGCACAAGCGAAACTCTCGAGATGCCGGACGATCTTACTGATGAAACCAAACCTCAAGGAGAGGCGGACGACGACGGGGATTATACGATCGAAGGAACTGGGGGCGTGGAAGTAGTTGGGCTGGCGAGCTGCCCAAAGGAAGAAGCTGAGCGCGATTGTGTCCGAGGGGCAATTGGAGATGGTTGAATTGACTATCTCGGGGGAAAGGCGGGTAGCGGAGCTAGGGTTTTTGTTTGGATTCAGCGACGGTTTAGTTATACTCGAGCTTGAATGGAGGAGTCTCCTCCATCTCACAAGCATCTAGGGTTTAGCGCTTAAAACCCCAAATGGGATCATTGAAATGCGGTAAAGAAACGGACCTAGCAGTTTTGCCACCTAGAAGGTTTATTAACAGGACAGGAGATACAGTGTGCGTTTGTTTGAGCCAAAACTCAATTTTAGAACATTTGGCTCGTTTGCTTCTGATGCACCAGTCTGAAAAGCCATTTTGTGAATGAACAGGAGTCAGACCACTGCCGGTAGGGTGCGTCCAGCGGTTCACAAATAATACTTCACGTAAGACCCCTCTTCGCGTACCATTTGGCTGCCGAAGCCCCCTTTCCTCCTCGTGCCCTGGTGTTTCGCCACATTCGCCCTCTCTTGAGCCATAGTGCGGTGGACTTCCCCAAATAATATGTCTTTTCGTTTCTGTTGTCTTCCGTCACTGATGATGTCGGACCAGCCATCATCTCCTTCTGCTCTGATCGCGCTATAGCCGAACTATAGAATAATAGTTTTTTTGTTTTATTTCATCCTCATATCAGAAAGGGAAGAGAACTTGATGAGTGGAACCTCATGCAATTTATTGATTTGTTGGTTTATGATTCACTTTCTCCTTCACACAAATGAAAATTTTTTTGGGTTATTCTCTTATGCCCGAAATCTTCTTGCACATATGAAGTCCTAAGATTTTATTAGTGAGGCTTGCTCGTAAAGTTGTTTAATTTTATTTCATTTGCTTATGAACTTAATGAGTGGAACCTCATGAAATTTTATTGATTTGCTTGTTTATCCTTCACTTTCTCTTGCACATAAATGATTTTTTTTTATTATTCTCTAATGCTCGAAAACTTGTTGCCCAGATGAATTCCTAAAAAAATTGTGCATATATCAAACAATGAAATTGTTTGTCTTTGCTTTTGAAGTTGTATGTGAAGTTGTTTATTACTGGAGCTTGCTTATGAAGCCATTTATGAACTTGCTGAGTGGAATCTGATGCATTTTTATTGATTTGATTATTTCTCCTTCACTTTCTTCTTCACAAAAATGAACATGTTTTTGGTTATTCTTCGGTGCCTGAAAACTTGTTGCACATGGATTCCTAAAGAAATTGTGTGCATATGAAATAATGAAATCATATGTCTTTATAATAGAACACTCATTGTATGTAAAATGACGATGTGAATGATTAACGATGTTAGGTTGTTATTTATTCATGAAATTTTGTGAAACGCTTTAGTTTAGTATACTCTAATATTTTTGTTTTTCATAATGCTTCAGTTTAGTATACTCTGAATTTTGTTGAATGAATGCTTCAGTTTAGCATACTCTCACCTATGGATCCAGAGAATTGTTTCATATATGACTTCAATTTCCTTATTTTAGCTCATCCTGAAAGCATTGGAGATATTGATGCTTGAATGGCAACAATACTTGGGTTATGTTCTCATAGCTATTGAATTGTATGCTTACTTCCTGGGTTTTATTATTATTAAATTGGAATGAAGAATGTATTCCTCAGTTCGAGATTTTGTACTTTTAGCAGCTTTATAGGTTTAAAGTGAATGAACTATTTTGATTGCATTTCAAGGTTAATGGGCTATTATTAACTGTATTTTTTCAAAGATGGTGTTTCCTTTCTGAAATTCAGAATGCCTTTAGAACAATTGGTAAGAAAATTAATTTGAAGTATCCATATTTTTATTTATGCATGTCCATATGAAAAATATGAAAGTCCATGTGAAAAATATGAAACTGGCCATTGTTGTTTCAGTTTCACAGAATCATATATGTTATTCTAGTATGAGAAGGTTAGAGGCATTCATACATGTAAAAACGTAGTGACGGTGGTTTTTTTTTATGAGATTTTAAAGACTTAATTGTTTTGATTGAACATATGAATTACTTTGTGTTCAATATATAAAAAGTCAAATAAGAATTTTGTGGTATGTATGTCAATAACTTGCTTCCCAATTTCTCGTGTTATTTGATAATTATGCAAACCTTTTCTACTAGAGTGTTTAGTATACTCCTCTACTTATCATATAACATTTGAAATAATAGAACGAGCTTCTAGATACGACAAAAAAAGGCAGCACAAGGGACAACACATCATTTTCTATTTGTGTTACATGAATGACAGGTTGTGCTAAAAGCTAAGAAATTACGTATGGTGGCATCGTACCTGATGTAGAGAAAAAACTTGATCTAATGTTTAGCGGTGTTGTAGCAATGGGTAATAATGCATGGACTCCTTAGGAATCGCAAGAACATAGAGATAGTCCAAATGAAATAATTTATTAATCATCACACGACATTAATGAACACAGTGAATTCAATCATGCTAGGATGCTACCATCTTTAATAGTAAGGCTAGCTTGTAATAAAAAGATTGACCCTACGTATCTGAGTCAAATATCAAAGCTGGATAAGACATGTACTAATTTATCTTCTGAATCTAACACACCAAAACCTTCTATAAATATTCCTAATGTGATAAATAATTTAGAGCTAAGTTGTATCTTTATTTTCATTGCTATAGTTAATAATAACACACATTATTTTCATTGCTATAGTTAATTGCCCATTACATTTTCTAATGATGGCAGTTAACCTAAGCTGCATCTTGATTAAAATGTAGAAGATGATTGTTACAAGATACAAATCTTTTGCTTTATTGAATAAACATGACTATACTTGGACTTTACATGTCAATTTTTTATTGCTTCTGTTATAGTATATTTCATGTGTTTCGACTTTGCTTGAAACCAGTGAATGTAGCCTAAAACTAAAAGAGAGGCTTTTGAGATGAAATCGAGTTAATAAGTGCATTTAAAATTTTAAAACACCAAGAAAGAAATCTACAACTGATACATACTTTTTCACGAGAAGAAAAATAGATTAAAATATAATTATGAGAATATGCTCCATACAAAATTAGAAAAAGTCGCCTTAGATGGTTTGGTCACATTAAGCGTCGACCATCTGATAATCCGATTAAGAGAGTAGATGTTTTAGATTCGACTTATATTAAGAAAGGCAGAGGTAGTTTAGGAAAACTTGGGCTTATTGTATAAAAAATGATCTAAGTGAAAATATGACACTAAATAGGACGCAATGGAGAAAAATGATTCATGTAGCCGACCCTACATAATGGGATTAAGGCTTTGTTGTTGTTGTTGTTATTGTTTTGGATGAACAAACCGATGGAATATTGGATCGAGTTGTTGGAGATAGAAATGCATCTGATGATACAGTGAAAAATGCCCTTGAAAGCCTAAAATTTTTTATGAAGATCTTGCTCTTATTCAATCTTGTGATCGTAGCCTTTATGTTGTTGTTTTTGATGTTGTATTTGTTTTTTGATTTATTTTAAAAGGAAAGTTGTATTACTGCGGGATGGATTAGTCAAGGAACTCGTATGTTTGAGTGTGATGCAGCTTATGTTGAACTCATGTTTATATGACTATTTTGGAGATAAAAAATTGTGTTAGTGTTCTACTTCAGTATTTTTCATTTTAAAGAACTTGTTAGTAACAATAACTTTAGTATTCATCATTGGATTTATTTCAAATAAATGTCTATTTTCATAAGAATTTCTTTTTAAACATTAATTAATAATTAAACTTTTAGAAAAAAAATTATTTTGTAAAACCTAGCCTTCTATTTATTCAACAATTTAATTTTGACTTTATTTTGGTATTTCTACTTATCTCAATTACACAGTTAAAAAGAGAGACCACATACATTGAAAAAACCCATACTATCTACATAATATACCAAGGGATATTACAAATATTGGTTCACATATAGCACTTTCAAATTCTCTATAGCAGCTTCCGAAACGTGAGCTTTTGAACAACAAATTCTCTATAGCAGCTTCCGAACAGAGATTTCATACAGCCACAACTGAAACAAGCGCATCCTTAGACTTTAATTATTTGAGTTAGAAAAAAAAAAGATATGTTTTTATGGATCTAATAATAATATTTTTAAATTTTTAGAGTTTTATTTTTAAATCTTTTGAATAATATTTTTTAAGAAAATTAGATATGATATATTTTTTTTATTTTTTATTTAAATATCTTATTTATTTACAGCCATCAAATCAAAATTAAAAGATTAAAATTGAGCACTATTAGAAGTGGTCGATTCTTTTATAATAAAACTTTCTCACAAGTTCGTCTGTTCAACTTTGATTTTGATTGACTTAATATTAATTTTGTACATAAATGATTTTGAGTGGTTGAATGAGAGGTTCACGGTTGAACCAATCAAATTGGGTTGTCTAGACGAATTTTTAAAGTCATGCATAATACTCAATATCTAAAATATATAAAAAAAATATGGACTATAGAATATGGATGAGTAACAGAGATAATTTTGAGTGACATTTTTTATGTGGTTTATGGATTGAGATATTGTATAATAAATATTAAGATATAAGAATTAGACCTTGAAGGCATATTGTTGTGTGCCAGAGAATTCACGGCGATATAGACATATTTACATCTTAGCATTGTTCAAGAATCCAACACACATATGTAAAATATGAGCTGATAGAGGGGGGCGTCAGCGGTTTTTATGTAGAGCATAGTATAAGTCGGTGTCTACCCTTAAACAACAGAGAATAATATTATAAGAGGGGAAGAAAGAATTAGGAAAGTGGTAGTGGCCTAACTGTGATGATTAAAGACCAATGATATGGGCTACATGATGGCAATCTAGATTCATTCATTGATAGTTGTGATGGTTGGTAATAGTGATCTTGCATAAGTAGTCGTGATAACCAAGTGATGTTGATCTAACAGTGATGATTTCACAATGGTGGTGTTCCGTGATGGCAGTGGTTGTCGAGTAGTTGTGATCTAGTATTAACGACAATATTGGTTGGGCAATAATGGTTCGGCGAAGACGACAGCATGATGAAGGTGGTTGTGTATGACAGTAGTGGTGATCTGGATATGATGATCCTATGACAACAACAATGTACAATAACTATGAAAATGACCGAACTGTGGTGATCCAACATAACTATGGCTGGGAAATGATATAGCATAGCGACATATAAAAGATGATGATATGGCAATGGCTACTGTGTATCACAATAATGGTGATGTTCGAACGTTAGTGATTCAACATAATGGTAGTCAAGAGTTAAAGATTTGGTGATGTTATTAATGCTCCGACGATGGCAACTTGGCAGTGACCCACTTATAGTGATTGATAGTGGCAAGGTGGCTTAGCATCGGTAAGGAGATGATGGTCTTATGGTGGTGGCAACCCAATAACAGTGGTTCGTTTAAGGAGGGTGGCACATTGTCGGTTAGGTGTCGATAGCTTAATGGCAATGACAACCCAACGACTGTGGATCATTACGTCAAAGGTGGCCCTACGATGGCGGCCTAATGGCGGCAACTGAAGCCCAACGATGGCGATATGGCATGATGGCGGTGGCCTTATATCGGGAGTCTAGCATGATAAAAGTCGCTCAAAGTCTGTCAGGTGACGACAGCAGCCCAACGACAATGGTCTAACATGAAGGCAGTGGTATGGTGATGGTGGCTAGACAATCACGAAAGAAACTCGGTGGCAGTGGAGATGGCGACTCAACATCGATCGGGTGTCGGCGGTCCGGTGATAGTGTTGGCCCAACAACAGTGGCCTGACATTGCGGTAGTGGTCCGGTGATGGAGATTAGGATCGGTAGTTGTATCCCCACATCAGCCTGGTGAAAGTGGTCCTATGTTGACAGTGATCTGGCACGTAGGCATTGGTCTGACGATGGTAGCTGACGATGAAAAAAGTGACCTGATGATGGTGAAGGCAATGATTAGGTAACAATCTGGCATTAATGGTTTGGAGGTTGTAGCAGCTCGATAATGGTGGCCCGATGATGGAGGCCTTTCTGTGGCTGCGACAACCTAATGATGGTGGTCCGACACATCAATGGTGGCTTGAAATCAAGGGGTTGGCATGATAATGGTGGCTTGACATTGGTGATAGTGGTCTGATGGTGATGGAAGTGACTTAATGACGATGGAGGTGGTGGCTCGACATCTGTCACCGCGGTCATGTGTTAGTGGTTAGGTGGTGGTGACAACCCAACGATGGTGGTCTAACATGATGGTGGCTGTGGCGGCATTGGTCTAGTGACTGTGACTTTTGTTGAATTCCCTCCTTCTGTTTTTCTGCTGCTGCATCCATTCATGTCGTAGTTCTTGTTGTTCCACACGTTTGTCTGGAATGTTGTGATTCCATCTACGATCATGTATCCCTTTTCTTGTCCACTGATAAGTGTTTGATGCAATTTCGGAGTATTCATCCTCTCGCATAGGATTCCATCTACGATCTCCTGTTTCCGCCTCTGGCAAAGATGGAGGCTGGACTGCAGTGGTCTAGTGACTGTGGAGGCATTGCGTCAGTGGTCCGATGACGACGATTATCTGGCAAAGATGGAGGCTGGACTGCAGTGGTCTAGTGACTGTGGCGATAATGATGACAAGGTAGGTTGGGATAACATAATGTGGTCGTGACGCATCCTGGTGATGGTGGTTCAGCTACGGTGATTATGGTGGTTGAGAAATAATGATCAGGCGGCGGCAGTGGCGGCGATCGAGCGATGGTGGTTGGGGGGCCGTGTTGGGGGGGGGGGTGGGGAGGGGTGACCACCGTGGTAAGTGTAAGGCTGTTGTCGCGACTCCGGTGACGACAATTTCAGTGGCGACGACTCCCTTGGCTTGACGAGGTGGTCCTATTTTTTAGGTTGTACATAAAGGTCATGAGTTTTTCAGTTCTTGGAGGCAAAACTGTTATAAGAATGGAAAACTCCTAAGTACAAAAAACATGATTTCATAAGCTTCTAGTTTTACTTAATTTCAAATAGCCCTTGTGTTAGTCGTTCAATAAGTGATTTTTTTTTAAAAATAATTATCAATCAGTGTCCAAACCTTTTGAGGGTATAATCAGTCAATCTTTCTTTTAGATTTTTAAATGAAAAAGTTTCTAACTCAAGTCCCACTCCTTTCGAAGCATCGCCTTCGGCAAGCCACAACTTTCGTCAGGACTCAAGATGATCTTGTCTTTGCCTTCATGGGGGTAACAGTTGATACTTGTGAATGAGGTGATTTACATTGTAGTCTTTGTTGATCTTGTTACTTTTTTGAAGGGAACCACCTCCATAGTTTTTTCAGAGCCGAGCTTCAAGATGGGTTTTAGAGGTTTCTTGAGCTTTAAGAAGGGAGCACAAAAGCATCATCCTGGAGCTTTTTTTTCGCTTGACTCATCAGCATCAGATGATTTTCCCAAGTGGACGGTCGACTAGAGGTGGTCGACCCAAGTGGGCTTTGGTGGCTTACCCAAGTGACCGGCTGACTGGGAGTGAGTGGCCAACCCAAGTGGCCAGTCAGATGGTGTTAGCGAGCCCAAGTGGTCGGTCGCATGGTGTTAGTTGAGTGTTTGGTCGTGCCCGTACCACGTGTTCATCTTGTTAGGGTTGGTCGACTAGGGTGGCTGGCCGATTGAAACTTCTATGATCCGCTCAAATGGGTGACCAACTGAATGAAGATAGTCGGTTAGGATGGCAGACTCGACAAGGGCTCAACTATCGGCACATCTCTAACGATGGTGATTTCTACAAGCTTGGTGAGGTCATATCATTAGGCTATACATGAAGTCCTCATGTTTTTTTTACTTCTTGAAGGCGAAGCAGCAATAAGAATGAAAAACTCATGAGTACAAAAAACATTCTTCCCTGAGCTTCTAACTTTTATTATTTTTTTAACAACCCTTTTTGATAGCTTCTTGTGGGAAAATTTTTTGAAAAAAATCATTAGTTAATGTACAGGCTTTTGGATATAAGATTTTACCCAACTCAGGCCCTACTCCTTGCCCATTTCTTTTGCTATCATTGGAATATCGCCTCCGGCAGGCCATGCCCTTTGTCAAGTCTTAGGTGGATCTTGTCGCTTCCTTTGCAAGAGTAACCGTTGAGACTCGCTAGTGGGGTGATTTACGTTGTATTTTTTTGTGGATCTTGTTACTTTTGGGTAGGGAAACACCTCCATAGATTTTCCCGAGTTGAGCTTCAAGATGGGTTTTGGTGATTTCCTAAGTTCGAGTGTGGGGAGAGGTTTTGTGGAAGAGCAAGATAGTTTATTTGCTCATCCCGGAGGAGAGGCTTAAATGAAGAAATATTTTGTATGCTCATCATGATGGTGAGACTTAAATGAAGAGAGAGAGTCTGTTTGCTCATTTCGAAGTGGAGGCTTGAATGGAGGAATAATTTGTTTGCTCATGAAGAGACTTTTTTTCATACTGCCCAAGTAGTTCAGATCATAAAAATTCTTGAAAGTTGTAGCAAAGATCTTGAGCTCATTCTTGCCCTTTACAACAATAAAATCGTAGCATACCGACTTTCAAATGGACCAATAAATAATAATAATAATAGTGACTAATTATGATGATAACTGCTTGGGCAGTTGGCAGCAGCAATATGATTTCTCATGTTATATTTATCATCAATCAAGTTTTAAATTAATGCTCAAATAATCAGATAATAAATTTGCTCAGATAATCAATCGATGATGATTAAATTTGAGCTGTTATTTATTAGAGGGCTTCTTTAAAATCAATTCTATTATTTATTTTTATTTGAAATACTTTCTATATATTCTTATTTTTTTATTTCTAAACGTAAATTAATATAATTTTTTAAAATATTCAAAGTAATTTTTAAATAGTTTATCATATCTTAATCAAATATGTCAAACATGCTTTATTCCAAAATAAAATAAAATAAAAATAAAAAATAATAAAAATAAAATATATAAGTGATCCCAAACTAGGGCTGTCAAAAAAGCTCGTTATTCACGAATAGTTCGTGTTCGTTATTAACTAACTCAAATTTGTCCAAAATATACAAACAAGTTTTATATTTTGAACTTGTTTGTTCTTCAATGAGTAAACGAGACAGACGTGAACAAATTTTTTTGTTCAGTTAGTTAAACGAACCAAACACGAACAATGATGTGTTAATTCGTGTTCGAATCATTATTGTTCAAAATATAAAATAATTTAAAATTTTTATATATAAAAAAATTTATGATATTTTTAAAAATTAATTTTTAAAAAGTATAATTTATAATAAATTGTTAAAATAATAAATTAATATACTATATTAGTAATATACTAATATAGATATTATATGTTTATATAATATAAGTTATATAATTAATATATCATATTATTTATACATATATTAATATTAGGGATGTCAAACTGGCTCGTTGTTTGCGAACTGTTCGGCTCTTTCGTTAAGAAACAAACACTAACAGTGACTTCACGGACAATTTCAAACACAAGTTTATTTCAAAAAAACTAAATTTCAAAAAAACTGAACATGAACACAAGCTCTGTTCATTCGTATTCGACTCATTTACACCCATATCCCAAACGACCTCTTATAGAATCAGTTCTAATCGCTGAAGCAGGTATAAAACTTCGGCCTACAGCTTAAAGCTGCAAAGCAAGCAACTTTCTTCCAACTTTAAAAAAAGCTTAATCATGCACGGATCAACAAACAAGTTTCATTTCAGAGTCCCATAAATCATTTAATATTGCAACTTTACCATCCGCACAATTCAACAATATAGAAAAAGAGCTCCAGTTTCTTCACAAAAGCACTCTCTCCCTTCAATAACACATTGAAGGTTCCCAAAAAAAATTAAAGAAACAAAAATCAAGGGAAAGATAAAGATTACATGCTTGACTTTGCAAACATTTGAAATTTACAGAAAAGGTATAAAAGGATGTAAAAAACCCAGAATTGTTTGTAAAAATGGGCTCACTAGTTCTGGAAAAAGAATGAAACAAATACTATAATGAAAAATATGGTGCTGTGCTACGCTAGAATCGATCAAATAGAAGATTAGTGCTCTCACTATAAAAAGAATGATAATCTATCTGAATGAGCTGGATAAGCTGCAGCTGCTCCAAACAGATTCTAAAACTATAAGGAATTGAACCATCTTTGCTTTTAAATAGACAGCAAAGTTGACGAAATAAATCTCCCTAAAGAATTGCAAGAGATTACTGTGGAATGTACAGCTAACCTTAATTCATGAATTTTTTGCAATTTGGAGCTTTGCACAGGCAGGGGACTTTGCGGTCGTCGCTTTCATCAGTGTCAAATAAGTAATCATAGCTGCAGCAAAAGTAAGAAAACACAGTAAGGTGGAATGATGCATGCAAGTATGGGGAAAACATGAGAAATTAAGTAATATTTGTATGATCAGCAACATCGAAAATTATTTTAACAGAGAATTGATAAGAATGCAGCAAAAATAATTTCAAGCAAAATAAAATTTTAAGGCCCGAAGGGGATGTTTGGCTACACAAGTAGAAGTTAGTGACCTTGAAAGTTGATATTTAAGCAAATTCAAATGTTGAGAAGATTATAGGTCTGTTTGGGGCAGCGGTGCGGTGCCACACCACAATTTTGTCCGGTTGGGTAAATTGAGTTTTGGTAATTTTTTTCAAAAAACTGCCGCCGAAATATGCATTTTTCCAACACTTTTGGGCCCCTGGCTGGGTGCGGTGGCAGCTTTCTAGCTACCATCTGACTTTAAAAAAAAATACTGTTCCATAACTGTTCAAACTTAATAAATAGAGAAAAATAGTTTAACTATATATTTTTAGATTTAAGATCCGTGAGAATCTTAAATCTATTAAATCCTGTGAATATTAAGATTTGACAAATTCTGGATGTAACAAATAACAGGGGGAAATGAGATTTATTAAAACAGTAGAGTTTGAAGTGGGAAAAATAAATACAAAACAAACCCTAATATTTGTATGGTAAAAGCATCATGTTTTAATTATAGTTTGGTGTATGATGTGTTATATGGAATAACCACGGTTAAAACCTATAGTAGCATTTGTTTTGATGTAATAAAATGTTTGAGAAGTAAGATAAACATGAATTTGTTTGTTATTTTTCTTTCACTTCCTTTAAATTTTAGTGATGGTTTAATTTACATGCTTTCTAAACAACCCCCCAAGGAAATATCACATGGCGCAAATATACCCTCACGAGCAATCCAAACTAAAATTAAATTGTTAAAGAAGCACCGAGTTCAAAAGTAAATGAAAAATAACTTTTTTGTAAAAGAATAATTCATGGAAACAGAGAAATTTGGAAGCAGGTCTTACGTCAGCTCATGGCCGGCAGAAACAGTTGTTTTGGCTATGAGAACAATTCGGCTCTCACCATTGCCGACGCTCATAATCCTTGCATAGCAGTTGGGCATGCACTGCATTGAGATCCATAAATTTATCAGATAATGGCATAAAGTTTTCCATCAAGTGGAGGGGAAACAATCATGAGAGAGAGAGAGAAACTGTATCTTACAGAGTGATTGATCAAGCGTGCTATGTTCCCTCTATTTGTAGCATCAATAACTACTTCATCGCTCATCTTAAAAAGCTGCAATAAAAAGAAAGTGATAAAATGAAGCAAAATAAAAATGCATCCAAGACAAAGTGGTTCAACATAAACAAGCAGATACTATTTAAACTTGAAGCATTTTATTTTTAGTATGTCCACATGGTTTATAAAAGTTAATTCTTCACAACATAAACGCCCCATATTTTCAACCAGCAGAATTCCATAACAAGCAATTTAATTAAAGATGTCTCTATATCAATACTTAATAAACGCATTTTCTCATCAAAATCTCAAAAGTGGAAGATTATACGACATTGTTCTACTAAAATATTCATCCTCGTTAAGGATTTCCTCGTAAAGATTATTAAATGATCGCCCGACTTTGACTTAATGAATCTCTTATCATCCCAACCAGATAGTATCTCTTAACAAATGCATTATTTGAAAATTTGGTTTCAAAAAGCCGTCCAAAAAGTTGAAACAAACGCAGCCATGCATGTGCCAAACACAGTTTGTAATGCATTTCGTGGAAAATTTGGTTTTAATTGATTTTTTTACAAAAACTTAATAGATAAGTGTATATAAAGTTATATATATAATTTTTTCTCATCTTATTATTATTATTATTATTACTGTTTTATTTAATTTTTAAAAAATTAATTAGAAATCCATATAAAGAATTTTTTTCCCATTAATAAATTGAGTTTTTGGCGATATTTTCATAAGAATCATAAGAATAAATACCATTGGTCAGTTTGTCGCCTTTGTAAAAGAAATGTGTTATCACTTATCAGTATAAGTGATACAACTACTGACAAAAGTTTGTGTAATTGAGATTTTTGAAACAACAACTACAACAACAAACAACAACAAACAACAACAAACAAAGCCTTAATCCCACTACGTGGGGTCGGCTACATGAATCTTTTTTCTCCATTGCGTCCTATTTAGTGTCATATTTTCATTTAGTTCTAGTAAATTAAGATTATTTTTAATACAATAAGCCCAAGTCTTCCTAGGTCTACCTCTGCCTTTCTTAACACAAGTCGAATTTAAAACATCTACTCTCCTAATCGGATCATCTAATGGTCGACGTTTAATATGACCAAACCATCTAAGGCGACTTTCTCTAATTTTGTCTGTCACAGGAGCTACACCAACCCTATCACGAATATATTCATTGCGTACTTTGTCTCTAAGTGTAAAGCCACTCATCCACCTAATCATTCTCATCTCGGCAAGAGTTATATAAATTAAAACTCTGAAAAATGGTTATTGGTAGAATATTATCTTTGATAGGGTTCTCTTTTTTTGTAAAATTGTCATATCCCCATCACAATATATCATCTTGTAAGAAAGTAGCTAAAAATATTTTAGGAAAAAAAAAAAAAACTTCGTCAGAGAATTTCTCCATAATTGACCAAGTGATTCTTGACATAGAAACTTAAATGAATTCCTCTCTTCTAGATATTTAAGGATCATACTATTGAAGATAACTTAAGTCAATAAGCAATGATAGTAACTCCATCAGATAATATACATATTGATAAAAAAAATTTTGAATAAATCATTGATTCATATCTCCCCATTAAATAAGGAGCAAGATATTAGTTTTAATCTTCTTTAAGAAATTTGTTGATTTTCTCATATTTAACACTTTCCCAAAAAGGCCCTAAGAAATTGCATAAAAAATTTGAGATAAACCAGATCCTTTTTTTATTAATTTAGTCAAACATAATCAGTTAGAATAGAAGTGTATGTAATCATTATTTTTTTTTCTAATCTCAATTTAATTACGATATTTCCATCACCTAAAAAACTATAAGATATCAATAAATCAGCCACTTTCGAACTTCCTCCAGAATGGACATGGTTTCTTTAAGAGTATTCTTAGCAGGAGTGCTATTCATTCAGAAGTCTCAAACTGCAAAACTTAGATGGATGATTGAACTGAGGATCGCCATCTTGTGCGAAGAAATATAAAAATAAAGCAACGCATGATAGAAGGCTTACATAGCAATCTTTTCCTTCCAACCGGTACCGGGTCTCCCTCAAGTCAGCAACACTACGTCTCACCTGCTCGCCCCGATATTCAAGTACCTGTGAAGTGAAAACAAAGCTTAACATAGAGTAAAACAAAAGGATATTTCCGTCCATTGCACTATTGTAGCACCTATCAATGCATACCAAAAAATAATTATTTCTAATTATTTACTAAAGCCTATCGCACAAGAAGATTCGGCACAACACAAACAATATAGGGTAAAAATAAATCACATCCATTATCAATAGCATTAGTACAGTTACTTGGAAAAGTGAACTTTATAGGGAAGAGTTACAATAAAGCAGTCATGTCAACGTTTCAGATCAAGGAGTTTTAGCAACTGTATATATGCAGACAAAATGAACTCATTTTGGTATACAAGTGACAAAAAATGTGTTTTCATGAATAGACAGAGGAAGAAGAAAAGGAGGGAGTGCAAAAGAGAGAAAGAGAGAGATATTTGCATTGTTTACAATATATATTTGATTTTCTCTTTATTTAACTAATGAAATGCAAGCCATGCAAACCATTTACATTAGATTGCTGTTTTGAAACCAGATAAGTTAATCCTTACAACCTGCTGAGTTGCTCCATTAAAATAAGTTTATATTTATTCATATAAAATCTAATCTTAAGATTAAAAACATGCTTGCAGATAAATCCGGCCATAGTGATGCTGAAGCACTACGTAGGTGTGAATAAGCAACAAGTTCAAATATATTTTTTAAGTTGGATAGCAAGTTATCAATGCCTCCATCCAAGCAAAAAAAAAAACATCAGCATCAGTGAGAAAGGAGCACTAAAAATTGTAATATGACCACACACAGACACAGTACAATTTGTTGTTTGCTATACCATTTCTCCTTCTTGAATTTTTCTGCAAGCAAATAGGCCCCACCCATGTATTCCAGATCTGCCAAAACAGACTCTACTTCTCTCAGTCAACTGTAAGGAAAGCAGATGAAAGTCAAACAATGAAATAGCCCCTAAAGTAAGAAATGGACGCAAAAAGGAAAAAAAATAACCTGCAAATAACGGAGCTGCTCCCTGAACGTTGAAAATGAATTCTTCTCATCCTGCTCAGTGACAATAGAAACTTGTTACAAAAGACAAGATTTCAATCGGTATAAGAAACCAAGTTAAAACTAAATGACACAGCAGAGCCGAACTAATGTACCTTAGATGCATTCAAACTTTCAATTGCATCTAAAGAATGATGCAGCGGACCCCTCACTTGATGTGGAATGGCCTGTTCTCTGTTTTGCTACAAATTTAAAAGCCAAAAAATATTCGATGTCAGAAAATTCATTAGAAAGATCAGCGATCACAGAGAATTTGGAATAAAAAGTTATCGGACTTAAAAAGAAAAAAAAAAGAGGACGGTTGTCATATTTATAAAGTAAAGAATCTCGACTATCTTTAACACATGCATACTAGAGTTGCTATGATCTGAGGGGCTTGTGTTGAAGACGTAAGTTATATATATGGCCAATTCAGCACTCGGAGTTTTTTCTTTATATGTTTAGGAAAAAACATTTTAAAATATACCCGAGTTAGACAATGAGATTATATTCAAATGTTTGTTTTATCATAGTTATATTTTTAATATTTGTCTATTGATATGTTCATTAGAAAAATTTTAAAATATATGATCTAAACGAAGAATATTTGAACCTCTAGAATTTACTATTGATTCTTCTATACGAAGGATTTGTAAAATAGATGTTGCTTCCACAGATCTCACCATCTCAGTTCCACCAAACTACTTAAATGTCGCAAGTATCACTTCAAATGAAGTGATATCTGGGGGGAAAAAGAAAAAAAAAACTAATCACAATTTTCTAGTCAGATTAACAGTTGGATAACTAATAAATAATTGTAGAAGTTAGCTCTTGAATTCTTGGATGAGTATAATGATCTCAACTCTTTGGGTTGTTCCATGCAACCTAAAGGAGATGATATACTGTAGGCCTTTAAACAAGCAAAAAAAAAACCCACGTAAGTTTATGGTTTGCCGGAATTGGATGAGATTAGATTTGCATTTAAATATTTGTCTTACACTTATAACTCAATTCCATAAATAGGGATCCATGATGAACATTTGAATTTTATCTCTTGAGTAAAAGAAATTATTTGTAGTCAATTAAGTGCTCTTTAAATCTAGGTTATGTATGTGGATAGCTTCAAGTTGTCTGTGCAAACTTTTTTCCTCATCTTTATCACGCAACTTAAACTGATGCGAGAGAGGCTCCATCCCAATCGGGTGCGAGAAAAGCCAGCCGGCTAAACTGGCTGGCATAAGGCATCGATCCAAGCCACAACTGGACCGGGCGGCCTATAGAGAGGGCAGCAATGCCGCCTGCCCCTTTTCCCACCTTCATTTTGCCCTTTTCTCCTTATGGAAAGCCTTTAATGACCATTTTCTGAAGTATTCATACCCCTTCCTTTTGTATGGAAGTTTCCTTTCCTCCACTTTCCTTTTCTCCTCCAATAGGAATCCATATATTGTTATTTTCAAAGAATTAGGGCAGTCTATGTAGTTTTCAGATTTCAGATTCATGTGTGCAGTTGTTCTCCCTGCTCTAGGTCTGCATCCGAGGAGATGGTGGTGCTCCGGCTGCATCCTACTCCGATGTGGTGTTGTATCTTCCCTTTTACCCTTACCTAACCCTTCTCCTCCCCTCTCCTCCACTGTGGCCTCTCCCATACTTCATCCTTGCACCCAGCCGCCCTTCCTGAACAACTTAGCCTTTCCAACTTCCCAGAATTCCTCCAAGCAACCAGCCAGCCTTTTCCAGTGACATGCCTTGCTGTCCAGACCCCTTCATGGCCTGTTAAATCACTTTCCCGCATTTCTACTTGCTGTCCACTTTGTCAGATCCTCCACACTTCAGGCCACCCCCATTACTGTCCTCAGCCGGGCTGTCTCAACCCTACCGACTACCTATCAGCCCCCGGCAACCCTTTCACTGCAGCCACTCTCGCTGTCCAGCCCACCTACCGATCCCCAAACTCCTTCCTAACCGACCTCACAGCCACCAACCCTTCCGCATAGCCTCACTATGTGTCGACACACCCCACTTTCGGATCTACTCTTCTATCCCTAGCCGGAGATTGGACAATCGTTGTTTTTCACTTTCCATTGTGTCAAGTTGTAAACCTATTTCTACATTAGTAATAGTTTGTTTTGTGTTTCTGCTGAGTTCCTACCTAGTTTCGGTATATTTAGTATCAGAGCTAACATAACCCTAATCCTATCCTAGGTTTTACTAGCATCATTATAACCAAAAATCTTTTTTCCAACCACCAAATATCCTTTTCACAACCCAAACCCTAACCCCGCCAAAATTTTTCTTTCTCATCCCTTATTCCCTAGACATGCAACAAAAGAGAAATATTTCTGAGCCTATCGGGAAAGAGATACGGCGAGAGCTACGTCGTCTTCAATAAAAGCTTGCGAAGATTGAACAATTAACACGAAAGGAGGTTACCTTCAACCAGGATTTGGAGAGTCGAAGGGAAGAAAAAAATGATGATCTGAATCCCTTCCATGGGGAGACTTTTAGAGATGAAAAAGACAAGCCACGACGTTTCGCAATACAATATCAGAGGAGGCCTAGAAAACGATACATGAATCCCTCCCAGAGGGAGAATCTCTGAGAGGAGATGTCACATTTGGACGACACAGAGACTTTAACATCAAAATGGATCTACCAGAGTTTAAGGGAGATATGGATCTGGAAGTCTATTGATTGCCTATAATCTGTTGAACAAATCCTCAAGTATAAAGATTTGTCAGGGGATAAGAGGGTCAAATTAACTGACAACAAATTGAAGAAAAGTGTCTCTTTGTGATGGGAGACCTTACAGAGACTGAGGAAAAGTGAAGATAACGATAAGATTACTAGGTGAGAAAAGATGAAGAAAGTGATGCAGAGGAAATACCTCTCACCCCTTTACTGTCAGGTTATGTTTGAGGATTCACCACCTGCATCAAAGGGATCTTTCAGTAGATGAGTTCACGGAGCAGCTTGATCAGTTGTAGATGAGGTGTGATCTGGTCGAGCCATAGGAGCACACCATAGCACATTTTTTGGTGGGTCTGAAGCTAGCTATTATATGTAGTACAACTGCAGTCTTATTCGTCACTTGGAGATGTTCAGGCACTAGCCCTGAAGGTGAAGAGGCTATAGAAGCAGAACAAGCAACAACCATCCTTCAGACAGCAACCATCTGACAAGCAATCACCTACAATTACCATGCTGACAGGGTACCACGGGAGACATTGGCAAGCCCGGACAAGGGAATGAAACTCCATATCAGAGCAAAAAGAAACAAGAGAAAGGTAGTTCCTCCAACCCTATATCGGTCAGGAAGTGTTACAAATGCCACTGCTATGGCCACATAGCCTCCAGTTGCCCATGAGCAGCGTAGTCACACTCATAGATCAGGGTGTCATGGAGGAGATTGGTGACTAGGAGAAAGCAAAAAAACAGGGTGAGGTGTATTAGCTTCCCCCAAATGAAAGAGAGGCGCTCGTGATTCAATGGATTCTACAGACTGAGGACATGAAGAATTCGCAGTAGCTTCATAACAACATATTTGACACCCACTGCACAGTAAATGAAAAGGTATGCAGTCTCACCATCAACGACGGGAGCAACAAAAACATGACATCAACACAGATGATAGAGAATTTGAGACTTGCGACTCAAAAGCAATTCCAACCATATCACTAACGTGGCTGAAAAAACAATCAGGTCAGTTTTGATCAGAGATGCAAAGTAGAGTTTTCAATTGGGGGCCAACTACAGGACCATTTGTGGTGTGACGTGATCCCTATGGATTCCTACAATCTCTTATGGGAAGAACATGATAGTTTGACCAGAGGATTAAGCACGTGGATTCATAAACACATATTCCTTCACCAATGATGGGAAGCACATCATCCTACTGTCGGCAGCTAAAAGGGGGAAAGTTAAAAATTGGTGGGTGATTTGTTCAAAGCTGTCCGTAAGAAGCTGTCGGTCGCTGGGAGTGAAGTCCCGTCGCCTGCTTCGGAAGGACGTTTTAATTTACATATAATTTTAGAAAAAAATGAAATCTAACTGACCTCATATTTTTTACAATTTAAATGAAAGGGCGTTCTACCTCAAATCTTGCCTCTATCCCGAGGGATAAACAGAAGACTTGAAAATGAGACTCGATCAAATAAACTACGAAATATATGACATTCGTTTGGTCTGCAAAACCGTTTTATTTGTCGACAAGTTCTCCTATTTAATACAAAAAATTAAATAGGATTTATTTTAGGCTGGGTTCGGAAAAGCTTTCTATAAGGGCAAACCCCTATAGTTAATTACATCTTAAATGACCGAAATC